TTTTAATGACTTGTACGCAAATAGTTGGCTCTCTGCAGAGCCTGCCCACCTAGCAAGTGTCAAACTACACACCCAAGTAAAATCTTTTAGCTGCCAAGTGGGTCTGTGAGCCAGCCCCTTTGACTTATGCTGCATTGTCATGTCACAATGTGGCTAGTTACATAATCCTGCCATCAGGCTGAAAAACCTTAAACGGAACAGTTTAACCTGCAACATATCATGATGGTAAAGACATCTGAGGGCTGTTAAATAATTGGAAGAATGTCTTTGTTCATTATTATTATTATTATTATTTTTATTATTATTATTTGCTTGGCACTTTGGGAGGAGAAGTGAGATTTTGTCGTAATTCCTTAGACTACTGCTTCCCCACTCACTCTACACCCCCCCAAAGGGGCTGCACAACACAATGTTGATATGTTTACCTGAGTTAGACAGGATGTTTCAAGATTCACAGTGCTTTGAATGAACAAAGTCCAAGAAATAAAAAGAAAAGTGAGGATGTGGCAGTGTTTGTTCAAATTTAGAGCCTTGTGACAATTAACAGCGAAAAATTCATCTTAAAATCATATTCCTAACATCTGAACTTTTTGGATTGTTTGTTCAAGTGAGTCACATAGAATCAACAGCATCCATGTATTTTTGGAAAAGCATTTTTAGTCCTCATTCGTCAGTACAGTTGTGTGTCTTCAAAAGGATCTCAAGTACCAGGCTCAGGATAACATGATGATGATGGACGACGCCGTGTTGTGCATGAGCTTCAGTCGAGACACAGAGATGTTGGCCACCGGCGCCCAAGACGGAAAGATCAAGGTCTGTGTTGTTTGCCTTTTTGTGTGTGCGTTGTCAGCTATTGAGCTTACATTCCTTGTGCATCCCGTGTCTCGGCAGGTGTGGAAGATCCAGAGCGGCCAGTGTTTACGGAGGTTTGAACGTGCGCACAGCAAGGGCGTCACCTGCCTGACTTTTTGCAAGGACAGCAGCCAGATCCTCAGCGCTTCCTTTGACCAGACAATCAGGTGAGAAGACTCCTCAGCCACGAAACTGTGAGGCTGAACCTTGAATGCGACCACAAATATCAGATGAAATGGGATGTTTTTCTATGTACCTAATTCATCATACATTCTGTTATACATCTCTCATGTACCATACTGATTGTATATCACATTTATGGTCAATCCACCAATGTTGCATCTAATGTTCTATACACCAAATGACAGATATTTACTGTCTCTCCGCTGCGACTGGGCCATATTTAAATCACGTTATGTCATGTGCAATTTTTTTCTTATTTTATCCGTTTGCACTTCAAGTATTGCATATTGATTTTATGCATACCCAATGTACCATATTATGCACTTACCATGTGCCATATCGACATCATATTTATTACCAATATGCTAATGTAATGCTAATGCACCAGATCTACTCTAGTCATGATAAATATAACAGTGGTAACGTTTTTTTGTTTTTGTTTTTTTGTGTCAGGATCCACGGTCTGAAGTCGGGCAAGTCCCTGAAGGAGTTCCGAGGCCACTCGTCGTTTGTCAATGAGGCCACATTCACCCCCGACGGCCACCACATTGTCAGTGCCTCCTCAGATGGCACGGTCAAGGTGCGCCTGCCGCCAGTCATGTCTGTTGTGTGCGTGCGTGCGTGTGTGTGTTTGTTTGTTTTTACACGAATTCTTGTGTACCTTAGGTGTGGAACGTGAAGACAACAGAGTGCAGCAGCACCTTCAAGCCGCTGGGCTCGTCGGCCGGCACCGACATTACCGTCAACAACGTCCTCCTGCTACCCAAGAACCCAGAACACTTTGTGGTGTGCAACCGCTCCAACACCGTGGTCATCATGAACATGCAGGGACAGGTACACTCACACACGCACAAATACACAGAGAGTGTTATCAGGCTTCAGCAAAGCTTGCTGATGAGCTGATCACTTCAGTCAGGTTTGTTGAAACATGTAAAACAAGGTGGATAAGGGCTCTTGAGGGCCTGACTTGGGCACCCCTGGGCTAAGGCTATCACTCATGAACCTTTTTAGGCTTGACTATCCTATCGATTCTAGTTGAGGGTTTTTTTTTCTGTAAAATGTCTGGCTTATCAATGATAAGCGCTCAATTAGCAAATAACAAGTTTTCCAAAGTTGGGGCATATTAACATTGTACTCAGTTAAAAGTAACCAATGTTTTTCATTTTCATCTAAGCCACGGTCTGTTGCCGTGCTCTCTTGCCAAGGCAAGTGTCTCTTGCGGCCGTTTACGTTGCTCCAGTGCCCCGCTGGCAGTGGAATTGAGGAATTATTTTTAACACCGTCTCTCTTGTTTAGTCTTTATATATTCTCAATAGATTTGAATATCATCGTCATCATTAGAGTGTCACAACTGTGGATCAATTACAGATCGTGAGGAGTTTCAGTTCGGGTAAGAGAGAAGGAGGCGACTTTGTGTGCTGCACATTGTCACCGCGCGGCGAGTGGATCTACTGTGTGGGCGAAGACTTTGTGCTCTACTGTTTCAGCACGGTCACAGGCAAGCTGGAGAGAACGCTGACGGTACGGAGCACGCGCGGCCAAGTAGTTGAGGTTTTGGCAGGAAACGAAGCACTCATTTTCCTTGTTTCTTTCTTCCATCCTCATTCAGGTCCACGAGAAGGACGTGATCGGAATCGCCCACCACCCCCACCAGAACCTCATCGCCACCTACGGCGAAGACGGCCTCCTGAAGCTCTGGAAGCCCTGAAAGATCCCAGATGTGAACTCTTGGCCCTTGCTTGTTTGCTTGTGGCAAGACCCACCACGGTGACGTCGTGATCCCCCTGGAGAAGTTGAGAAGAAGCGGCATCGAAGACATCACTTGTTGGTGCATTACCGAGAGAGTTTAGAAAGTTTGGGGTTCAACTGGGTGGATTTATTTTTTATTGTTGTCATTTACACCTGTATTTTTTTTTCCTAGTTATGTAAATATTTTTTAGGACTTTCTATGCTCATGTGTGTTGTTATTTTGCCCTGTAGTATCATTGACATACAATGGCAGACAAATTTCACACAAATCAACAATGGGATTATTCCAGTCCATGTTAGAAACAACAATCACCATCTCAGTTATGGACAAGGCAGTTTATTCAATGTCTTTTTCCACCTTAACTGTGTAATTAAAGCTATTCAAGCGGCATGTAATTGTGTTCAATTTTTAATGGAGGTGGAAATGTTTTGCCGTAAGTCTAAATGCAACAAGAAAATGTCATTTCCGTGGAAATAATGTGAATGCTGCTCTGAAAACTTACCCAATGTGAAATTTGGAGCATTTAAAAATACTGAAGTCTAGTACACTTCAACCCTGTTTATTCACATATTCACTGATTATTCTAAGGGACCCGAACCCCTTTTACTTTGGAAAAATGCACCTTTTTGCTCAGCCCAAACCCATGTCGGAAAATAATTGCTTTGGCGCAATCTGGTGGTTTGAGGCGATTTTTGTCACGAGGCAAAACCGCTTGGGGCCTGGCTCGGGCACCATCTAGTGCAGTGGTTCTTAACCTTGTTGGAGTTACTGAACCCAACCAGTTTATATGCACATTCACCAAGCCCTTCATTAGTGAAAAATAAAAAGATGATTTTTTTTATTTTATTTATTTTTTACAAATTCAAGTCATAAAAAAAGTAGACACAATTAGTATAAGTACAGGTAAAAAGTACAGCATAAGTTTTTTAATTGTGCACAAAATGAACCAGCCAGTGATGGCCAAGCGGGCATGTCATAACTAATTGACGTGTTGAGTCGGGTGTGTCTTAACCTGGCATCACAGAGGCTCTGTTGAACCCGTGAGGCTGATTCACCGAACCCCTGTGGTTGATCGAACCCAGGTTAAGAACCACTGATCTAGTGGCTTACTTTAGTGAAGTGCCGATCGAGTTTTGAAATTGCATTCCATTGATTAACCGACAAATCCTGCAAAATGAAAGAGGAACTATCCATCCAGTAATGACAGAAGAAAAAAGAGGAAGATGAGAAATAAAGCAAGACAGTAGTAAGTGGGAACAAATATGATACAAATGAGATGCCTACATGCTGATTCGATAAAACAATGACAAACACTGATTAGAGGTAACCTCTCCACATCCATGAATTTCTTTTTAGGGCCGCAGCCGATCCTAGAATTTCCTCTGCTGATGGTATCTGGTTTCCGAGCAACAATGTTGAACTGGGGGAGGAGCTTCAATAAATAAAGTCGTTGCTTTGTCACCATCTTGTGGCATCTTTAGGAAATTAAGAACATGTTTGTCTTGGGGTTTTCCGTTTTTATTGCAGGAATCGGTCTTTACTTGCTGAACTAACAATTACTTGAAGTGAGATGTGTGAATGATGAGGATTTAGCTTCTTGCCCGGGATTCGAGCAATATTTTGTAATCAGAATAGACGAAATGCTGTTGGCAGGTAAGCTTTCAGCGAAATATTAACCCACGAATGGAATGCAAAAATGTTCAGAATGGGCTGAACACTTGAAGTGGTTTAAAATTGTTGCGAAATGTGGAAAAAGCAGGTAAATATATAAAAAGGTCTCCTAAATTGGGAGTTTTATTGCGAATGTGTGGAATTCTTTAAAAAAGAAGTGACATTATTGAATGTGAAAAAATGCCCAAGCTGTCCTGAATGATATTCTAATTCAATTCAACTGTATTGTCTTCAAAGAAAATCAAAAAGTGTCCATAATTAGTCTTTCTTTTTTTTTAGTGCGGGGGGTCGAAGGCGCCTGTCGAATGATGTTAATGTCTTCCAGAACAAAAGTCTTTCCTTCTGCTAAATTTCTTTTCATTACAAAACTCAATTCGCATCTGCTAGTTGGCGGTTTAAGCATTTCATGAAGTGAAAGAAAACTGGTGATTTGTTAATACTGGTTGGTTCTACATTTTTACTCGGATTTAAAGTAACTTTTCTGTTAATGTCTTCGAAGTGTTCTTTTTTCTTTTTTTTTTTTTTTGACTGACCGGAAGTGAGCGTTTGCTTCTGCAAACTTGACAGCGAGTGAGCAGTGCAGCAACTTCTTTAAAAAAAAAAAAAAAAGAAGAAGAAAAATCATCATGCCAGCTTTGAGTCTGCACCTGACTCTGCTTTTGTTCCTTGTTTGCATTTGCCCGGTGCTCATCTCCTGCAGCAGGACCGCCGCCGCATTAACCAGCACCGCACGGCCCGAAGGAAACTCCACCGAGTCGGGCTCCTTTCCAGCAGCGCCCGCCGACCGCAACCGGGCTCTGAAGTCCACCAGTCGAAAAGCTACGAGTAAGGAGCCAGAAACTCCACGACACTTAGGTAAATCGATTTTAAGTTAGTAGTTGTTCTGTTTAATGTGTTCTAATGTGACCATTCTATTGTCATTCCTCCGTATATTGTGTGAATTTGCTTTTTAATGTCATGTCTGCTCATCAAGTGTAAAATTAAATAATCACCTCAATCTCTAAGTTATGCGCCTGTTTCTGAAAATGTGTCTGCGAGTGAGCCATTTGGAATTTCTGCGATTGTGACATCACAGTGGGGCTAATTTACAAAATAACGACCATAACTTGGTTTTCTGGACAGAGGCCTATTGCCCCATTGAGGTGCACAGAATTGGAGCGAAAAGTAGCACACAAGTACAACATTTCAGTCATAGCAAACAAAGGGAAATTGCTTTTCAACACTTTTGAACAAATGTATCACTGTCACTTTACACACAATAGTGTGCTTCAGGTTACATGTCAATTGAACAAACAAAAAAACATGACAAGGATATCTACTGTATACTGTATATGTACTGCAGAATTCAGCCAGCAGAGAGAGGTGAACGGAGTGAACAGAAAGTGTTTTGCAGCCACAGCCAGGTCTTTTGAGGTGGAGGAGGGAATCTTCAGTCCCTCAAGAAATGTTGATTCCACTCGATAGTTTTTTTAAATATAAGCGCACTTCTGTATGTTCGTTAAAGTGAGAGTAAAAGAAAGTTCAGCCACTGCTCATTTAACCTGAAGACAAGTAATTTTCATTTTATTTTTCATATCAATGTTGTAAATGAAATTACATTTCCACAAATATGGCACCACTTTTTTTCCTCTGAAAAATCTTCAACTTTTATTTTCTCTTATTGCTAATTTAAAGTTTTTGTCTCTTGGCAAAAAAACATGCCACAGTTTTGAAAGAAAATTACTTTTTATTTTCAGACCCCCCCCCCCCAGAGGAATAAGGCCCAACCTTTTTTTTTTTTTTTTTTTTTTTTATCTCAAAAGAAAACATTTTTTTCCAAAAAAAATATATATACAACCATATTCCTTGGAAAAAAGTTGGAATTGTTTTTCGTAAAAATTGTTCCGCTTTTTCTTGTTTAAAAAAAACGGACAACTATCCAGCCCACATTAAACGACAGCTAAGCTCACCATCGGACCATTTACAATGCAGGACGGGATGAGGGCGGGCACACTGCATGAGACAGTACTGCCTCTAATCTCAAGCCAATTTCTAGGGCAAGAAATATGTTGTGAAACATTTCTACAATTCTTAATCCCAGGTGTATTTTGACAAACGCATGCCACCCACTCCTTGTAGAGAGGAAGCCCATCAGGAGCGGGAAGATAGCAAAGAAGCCCAAAATTGTCCTCAAGAAACCTAAAGTTGCCTCCAAAAGGCCAAAAGTTGTTCAGAAATCCAAGGCCAGCCCGCCGGTTGCCAAGGACACAGCGACACGTATGTATGCTGCATTGTCACTGAATTATGTCTTATGCTGAGTTTGACACGTCACAAGCGTGAATGTAACTCGTGCTCGATAGCGTGTAGGCTACTCACCGGTCACTGCATGGGCAAAAGTATCGGGACACCGATGGCCATCAATGTACATATCAAAACTGGAATTGTTTCCTCCATTACTTCATATTGGCCCTATATTAATGTTTTGACATTTAGAACGGGTTGTGATAATAACTCCGGGATCTGGCCCGATACTTTTGTCCATATGTTGAACTCTGTGACGCTCTCTTCATGCTTCGCTGATAACACACAAAGTCTTCTCTGCAGTACCCATCTCAGGGAAGCATAATCTATTGTGGCGCTGTATGAATGGACTCTGCAGTCCAAATATTTCTGTGCTTAACTGTGTTTCAGCGCTAATTGCAGTCCCAGTCCAAAATCTTGCAGGACTACAAGGTCACATGGAGCAAGCTGGACATTTCTAAATCTCTGCTGTAGTGTTTGACACACAAATTAACACTCTCACACTGGGAGAAGCTAATCTTGACTCAGGATAAGAATACTAGAAATAAATACAGCAACTTGAAATGATCCACAAAGTGCACAGCATGCGCGATCATGTACTCTATCAATAATATGATCACTCCTTTTGCCAGTCATTTCATGTTAACCGCCACCGTGCACAATAGACAGGAGTGTAAGGGCGTGTCTTCCCGCTGGTCCCCATTGAGACTATTCTTGTGTGTCAATCAAACGGCGTGGGCGTCGTCTTCAGAATGTCCTCCACTGGGTCTGGAGTCCCTCAAGGTGAAAGACACCCAGCTGAGGGCGTCGTCCTACAAGCGGCGGGGCTTGGGCCCCCACCGCGGGCGACTCAACATTCAGGTGAGCGCCGACACATCGCCATGACGACAAACGACATGCCGGTCACGTGTTTTCGTTTTGTCGACACGGCAGTCGGGCATCGAGGATGGCGACATCTATGACGGAGCCTGGTGCGCCCACGAGCGCGACACAAAGCAGTGGCTAGAGGTGGACGCCCTAAGACTGACACGCTTCACCGGTGTCATCCTGCAGGGGCGCAATTCCATCTGGAGGTCAGGATTAAGGGAAGAACACTACCTTGCGCCCGCCACAAAATAGCCAAGTCATCTACATTGCCACTCCTGTCAAACAGTACCGTACATCAGTCAAATTAAGTCATATTTGTTAAAGAATTTACTTACAAGAAAATATTTTTTTGAAGGGTTATACATTTATAGGATTAGTCTTTAGTTCATTTTTTCCTTTTTTTGTTTTTTTTTTTACTTTTGGCAAACAACCACTCTGTGTAATACTACAATAATAAAGATATAAATAATCATTTTACAAGATTAGTTATTTTTCAAGAAAAACGTAATTTTATAAGATTATAGTCAAGAAAAAGTTGTCATTCTTATTATTTTAAGAGTACGGATACGGAAGAGGATTAGGGCCAAAAGAAACTCTTTATTTTAGAAAAAAAGAAAAAAAATCTGAATTTAACGACTAAAAGTCATGTCAGAAAAAGATGATAATTGTTCAAGAATAAAATCTGAATTTTTCAAGAAAAATGTTCTCAATATTACAAAATGAAAGTTGTAATTTTGTTAGATTAAAAAAAATAAAAACCTCCTTTTATTTAATAGTCAGATTTTAAGTAAAACAGATCACAAAAAATAATGTTGTCCCGTAGTCTTATTTTTGTAGAGAAACATATTGAGTCTTGCAATGTTTTTGTTCAAAAAACTATTTTAGGAATAAATTGTATTTTTTCAGGTCATAATTTTATGTCAATAAAATGTTATTTTTAAAAGGAAAAAGTTAATTAGATCAAAGTTGTGCTCAGTAAATATATTGTAATTTTATGAGGATGATGTGGTATTTCTCTGAGTAAAAATAGTATCTAGTGTAATAATAGCGACATATTTTAGGATTTAAATAATTTTTTTCGAGGAAAAAAATATGTGTAGACGACAACAGTTGTTCCTTTTGGTTTTTTTTTGTTTTTTTTTTTCTTTTCACAACAATGCTTGTTTGTTGTGCAGTTGGGACGTGGTTTACACGTATAAGGTGCAGTTCAGTAACGACTCCCAGCTGTGGACAGCATGCATGAACGGGACTCAGGAGGCCGTAAGTGTGTCCCACCACCAAGTCTCGTCTGTCACTCCAGTGCATCCCTGTCCAGATGTTTGCGTGCGCATGTGCAGGTTTTCCAAGGCAACCGTGACGCGGAGACGCCGGTGCTGGCCGTCTTCAACACGTCCACGGTGGCGCGATACATCCGGATCAATCCTCAGACGTGGTACCAGAACGGGACGCAGGGAAACATTTGCCTCAGGGCTGAGGTGCTGGGCTGCACGTTGCCAGGTACTCCAGTTATTCCAATAACAGTGATCAAACAGAAAAACACATATAGAATTGTTGGAATCATTCAATGACAAAAAGAATAAACAAACATATAAAAACAATCAGGATAATATCATTGCAAATAGTCAAATTAAAAAAATATGTCAACTACACATTTGTACATTTGACTTTCAGTTCCTGACATAATCAAGAGTATTTCTTGTAAATTAATTTCTTGTAAGTGAAAAAAAAAATCTCAGTTAAACTTTTAGAGCATATTCTTCCACACACGTATGTTTGATTGAATGACTATTTAATTCATTTATTGCAAATAAAAGAATACAATAAACCATTAACACATTTTTTAATTCTGTTGAATAGTTGGTGAATTAGCCTGCAAATAAAATACAAATATTCGGAAAATAAACGTGTACATAAACATGTTCATTTTTTTATTTTATGGAATTGGATGATTCATTATAAGTTGATTATAAATCATTCAAACATTCACATGGACACATTCACGGCAAAGCGACTGGTTAGCACATCCGCCTCACAGTGCAGAGGTGCAGGCTTCTTCCTGTGTGGAGTTTGCATGTTCTCCCTGCGCCTGCGTGGGTTTTCTCTGGGTACTCCGGTTCCTCCCACATTCCAAAAACATGCTGGCTGATTGAACACTCAAAAATTGTCCTTAGGTGTGAGTGTGAGCTCGGATGGTTGTTTGTCTCTGTGTGCCCTCCGATTGGCTGGCAACCGGTTCAGAGTATCCCCCGCCTACTGCCCGAAGACAGCTGGGATAGGCGACCCTTGTGAGGAAAAGTGTCTCAGACAATGGCGGAATGGATGAATTTAATGAAAAATAATATTACGAAGGACCTTGCCCGGCTGTCTGTTTAAAAAAAAGTGATAAGTGAGCCATGAGCTTCCTTCATCTCTGCGCTCTGCGCTGCTCGTGTTGCAGATCCCAACATGGCGTACCCGTGGCAGACGCAAGTCACCAGGGACACACTGGACTTCAGGCACCACAACTACAATGAGATGAGGAAGGTGAGGCAAGAGGAAGGTGGGCGGGAGGCGGTGCCACAACACGCTCCTGTTGCTGTCCCCCCCCACCAAACAAATATTGTGAGATGAGACCAAGATTCATCATTTTAAACACCCCCTCACCCCCCATTAGTGTGACCTACTGTGTAACTTGCACAACTCAATTGAAAAAAAAAAAAGAACGGTTGGAATCGTTCATAATGCCCTTGACAAAGCTCTGGGTCCCAGTTGAAGAAAAACAGCCCACCATACTTTCCTGTCGGCATGGTGACCTTTTAGTGACGAGCTTCCGCCAAACATTCATTTTGAAATGAAGGACAAAACATTCAACCTTTGTTTCATCAGACCAATACACACTTGGGTTTCAAAGATCGCAAATGTGTCTTCTTGGAAATGTAGCTTGAACATTTTTCAATCGAAGATGAAGCTTGTCATTCTTCCCTATAGCCAATCCATATTAAACAAAGAAATTCCTGTACGTCTTCAGTGTTGTTGTTGCAGCCTCCCCGACCATTTTTTTTTCTCATCTTTTAATCACGTTTTGGAGGAACGTCCAATTCTTGTGCCATATTTTCTTCACTCAATGACTGTCTTCCCTGCTTTTTATTGTATGATCAATGCTGATGCTGTGCAACTGTTCCCAGACCGTGGCTTGTGCTATAAGATCTGACGAAAAAAGTTGTCAGAGGTACTAAAAACTGAGCTGCCAAATATTAAACGCTGATTGACTGGAGCACGTATGCCACACAGTACAGAGGTCATGGGTTCGATCCCGGCTCCGGCCTTCCTGTGTGGCGTTTGCATGTTCTCTTCATGTTCGCGTGGGTTTTCTCCAGGTACTCCGCTTTCTTCCCAAGTTGTGGTTGTTTTTGAAGTGCTCCCATCTCGTGGTGACCACTGTTATTACATCTTGAACCTGATCAACTGCAGTAAACATTTTTATTTTTAAAATAAATCCCTAATTTGCACATCGCTGCTCTAGAATATTGTCCCACGTTAACAGTTTGTTGTTTGTTTTTGTGTCTTCCTCACTGATGCCGATATCAGGCTGCCCCACTCTGTGTCCACGACACAGCCCACTGTCCTCCTCAATTTATCCAGGCGAGAAGAATGACTTCTTTTTTGTTTCTTTCTTCTATTGACGCTCCTTGGTGATTGCAGTTGATGAAGGCGGTGAATGAGGCTTGCCCCAACATCACCCGTGTGTACAGCATCGGGAAGAGCTACAATGGGCTTCAGCTGCTCGTCATGGAGATCTCAGACAATCCGGGAACACACGAACTGGGTGAGCGTTAACTCTGTGGCGTCTTGTCAATCAAGTTAGAAAAGATCCTGATTTGAAGATTTCAAATCAGACTCCACAAATGCAAGTCGGCTTGTATTTAAAGTGCTACTCCCATGAAGTCATTCTAAATTATTATTATTATTACTATTAAAATGTTTTACAAGAAAGCCTTTTTTTTTAAATGTGTCAAATTGCAAGAATGAAGTCCAAGAAAAGAAAGTCGCAATCTTGAATTACAACTTCCACGAAATGTTTCTAATTGATTTCCAACAGTCTTTTGTCTTAGCTACGTGACTTCCAGTTGTTTGTGGGTAATTTTATTTATTTATTTTTTGTCCAATAAGATTTCCTCTTCGGTGTGTTGTCATACAAATCTTACTTTGCCCGCAATCTCGAGTGCTGGCGTCGACCACAAACGCACACTCTTGAAATTGCCGTTTCTTCTTTTAACCAATCTGATTTTAGATTATTCGAGTGAGTTTTTCCGTCCTTTAATTGGTTCGGCTACATTTAGCCTCTGATTGGTTGAGCTAAAAATGTATAGAGTATCAAATATTGATTTACCGGGGGTGGACGATGTTTGACATGGTAAAAAATTCACTAGGGCACTTTTCAGGAAAAACTGGACTTTTTGGGGGTTTTTGGGAGGGGGGCGTTGGGTGGGGGGCACTTTCAGAGCACCATGTATGAGTGGATCAGTGATCTTAAACCAGGGGTGGGCAACTCCAGTCCTCAAGGGCCACTGTCGTGCATGTTTGAGCTCTTTCCCTCCTCCAAAACAACTGCTTACAAATGATCGAGGTCTTTCTCAGGCTTCTGCAGAGCTTTCAGATGAGTGGATCAGTTGATGTCATTTTTTTTGACAGAAGCCACTTTGTGTGGCAGTCACGTGCTCTCAAAGTCCGCATGTGTGTCTTGCGTGCCACATATCCTAACAAGTCACCCCTCTGTCCCGTTTGCTCTCCACTTGTACAAATGTTGTCCTTGGGCTCCTCAGCTCCGCCAACATTCCATACCATTTCCGCCCTTAGAACGGCAAAAGGCATCCATTAAAAAATGTTGTTTACCATAACCCACCACCAAAGCCCGCTCCCCCCATTTCAACAAGACTTCCACACATAGGACATCTTGAAAAACGTCCGCGGAGATTATTGTGGAATGTTGCTCCTCTGGGAATATTTGACACTCCCACTTGGAAAAGGCATTCCTTACTTGACTATTTGACAAACGTACGCTACCATGCATGTTTGCGGATGGCACGAGGCCTGTTTGACGTAGACCCTGTAAAATGGCAGCGCCACAGGAATCATTTGACTGTGACGTTCAGACTGTACAACAAAGTGGGAATCAAGTGTGTGTACTTTCACACACACAGTAAGACTGCTACTTCATTCAAATAATGTACTGCTAATGTGTTATCATAGAAATGTTCACTCATGATGCGTTCACTGTCTTTTGTAGCCTATCTATCGATCTATCGATCTATCGATCTATCGATCGATCTATCTATCTATCTATCTATCTATCTATCTATCTATCTATCTATCTATCTATCTATCTATCGATTCATCTGTCTGTCTGTTTATGTTATGGTGGTCGACTGGTTAGCTTGTCGGCCTCACAGTGCAGCGGTGCACATGCTAACCATGCCATGCAGGCACGGGGTTTTCTCCGGGTACTCTGGTTTCCTCTCACATTCCAAAAATCTGCATTTTGTAAATTGGTGTAATGTGATGAGAATGAAGTGGGGTTTCTCCACTGTGTTTGTGTGTGTTTGTCGCAGGGGAACCGGAGTTCCGCTACGTAGCAGGGATGCACGGGAACGAGGTCTTGGGTCGTGAGCTCCTTCTCAACCTGATGCAGTTCATGTGTCGCGAGTACAAGCTCGGAAACCAGCGTGTCGTCCGCTTGGTCGAAGACACTCGCATCCACCTGCTGCCCTCCATGAACCCTGACGGATACGAGATGGCCTTCAAAAAGGTTTGTCCATTCAGGCCTGTGAGGTGGCGTCATTATATGAGAATACTGTAGTTGGATTTTTTTTTTTTTCTATATTCACAAGGGAAAAATATCTGGTTGCTTTTTTAGAAAAAAAAAGATATGTGATAAAAGTTGTTTTTCTGAGAAGATGTAATATTAAATATTTGTGTGTTTTTGCGGGGTAGAAAGTATTCAATTTTTCTTACAATATAAATTGTAGTCTTACCAGACTGAATCATGTTTGTTCAAGAAAAAAAGTTAGAATCTTGCAAAAATTTCAAATTTTTCTGCAAGAGAAAATCACATTTTTTGAGGGAAAAAGTGAAAAATTTTAACAAATTTTCAAGAACTGTGATTCTTTTTCAAGAAAAAAAGAACCTCCCAAGCTCACGAGCTTAAAATATTTTTCTTTTGTCAAAATACTACAAAAAATGCTTTTAAATGTTTGTTTTTATTCTACTTTTTTATTGTTTTAATTACAATTACATGAAGAAATTAAATGTGAATAATTGTGAAAAATGTGACCACATTATGAAAATATTCCCCAATAATTTAGTTAAAAAAAAAAAAAACAGCCAATCTGACGCAACACCACTCTTGATAAATGCCTGTCCTTTGCCCACCGTGGTGATCGAGTGGTTCGATGCAGGGCTCGGAATTGTCCGGGTGGACTCTGGGCCGGTACAGCTATGAAGGCATCGACATGAACCACAACTTTGCCGACCTCAACTCAGTCATGTGGAACGCCTTCGAACTGGAGACCAACCGCTCCAAACTCATCAACCATTACTTCCCAATCCCTGAGCAGTACAACTCGAAGGATGCCTTTGTACGTACGTCTCCTCCCTTTCCTCTCGCCGTCATCTTTCCTTCTTTTAATAACCGCCCGCCCGGCAGGTGGCATCCGAGACCAGAGCCGTCATCAGCTGGATGCAAAAAATCCCGTTTGTGCTCGGCGCCAACCTTCACGGTGGAGAGCTGGTGGTCACGTATCCGTTTGACATGACCCGCGACTGGGCGCCTCAAGAGCACACGCCCACCCCGGACGAGAGCTTCTTCCGGTGGCTGGCAGTCGCCTATGCCAGCACCAATCAGGTAGACTGCCTGTGTCTTTTCAAGCGAGACTTCTTGAGATTTTTTTCTGTGGCTCCCATTATGATAGACATGGCTACCAAATTTCATGTTTACAAGGGAAACTGGCTAGAATAAGTTTGTTTTTAAAGGATCGCTGGAAAAATGTCTACTTGAAACTGGTGGTTGCCAACAAAACCAAGCCTCTTGACCCTTGAATATTGCAGGTGATGTCCAACCCCGACCGGCGGCCTTGCCACAATAAGGACTTCATCCGCTACAACAACATCATCAACGGTGCTGCGTGGCACAACGTACCTGGAAGTAAGAACAAGAACTCTATTTTCAGCAATACAACGGACATGCTATTATTTTGTCTGTGTGTGCATGCGTGTGTGTGTGTGTGTGTGTGTGTGTGTGTGTGTGTGTGTGTGTGTGTGTGTGTGTGTGTGTGTGTGTGTGTGTGTGTGTGTGTGTGTGTGTGTGTGTGAGAGAAGGCATGAACGACTTCAGCTACCTGCACACGAACTGCTTCGAGGTGACGGTGGAGTTGTCCTGCGACAAGTTCCCGCACGCCAGCGAGCTTCCCATCGAGTGGGAGAACAACCGAGAGTCTCTGCTGGTCTACGTCGAGCAGGTGCTCAAGGAAAGATTTAACCGCAAAGTCAAAAAATAGGAGCCCATAGAAAACTCTGACACGTTACGCAATTTGTGCAATGGCTCCTCTGGCCAAATACTTGTGATAACAGACACTAAGCACAATACAAATAAACACAACGACAAGCAATTATACTGGTTAGTCATTACTTGCACTATAGAATAAATAAACACACAAAAGTGGACATACTGGATTTGATACTTTTGTCTTTGTCTCTAATGCGATCGTTCCTTGGTTGGTATTCATGACAGCAGATAACAACAACAGAAACAAACGAAACACCTCAAAGTAATCCACATGCAACATTATGAATATGACCACGCCCATCACCAGGTACGATAACGGATAACAGCCGCCTTGCCCAATAGAAATAAACGGTTGACGTGTTCCAGGTGCACAGGGGCATCAAAGGCGTTGTCCGGGACAAAGATACGGAGGCGGGAATCTGTAACGCCATCATTCAAGTCGAAGACATTGACCATCACATCCGATCAGGTAGTGTCTGTCATTTGTTTAGTTTAATCATGCATATAACTGAAGTATTGGGACACATGTTGTAGGGCGATGATCGTCAACTGGTTTGGTGGACAGCTCGTAAAAAATATCACTGGGTCTTCAATTTACACTTACCGTATTTTCCGCACTAAAAGGCGCACTGGATTCTGAGGCGCACCTTCAATGAATGGCCTATTTTGTAATTTTTTTTCATATGTTGTACGTACTGGATTATAAAACGTAATCTACAATGCATCCACTAGATGGAGCTACGCTCCTTCCGTTCGACTCGAGAAGCGTTCATCACCGCCTCCGAAAAACATAAATTAACGATTACTTCAATGAAACTATGAAAATTGAAAATAATGAATCAAAACAGAAAATCAAGCGAGGAAATCACGAAATAAATTCTATAGCCCCTCAACAGAATTTATTTTGGCATTTCCTTGGGCGTAGCTCCAACAGAACGATCAGATGTCAGTAAAATGTAGGAGACTGGACTGTCTCAGAAGTGTTTATTTATTCCTTTGTTGTGTACTGTATTCACAAACGAGGAAATCATTAAATAATGTTTTGATGCATTATTTTAAATTTTCGTAGTCTCATTGAAGGAATCGTGAATTTATGTTTTTCGGAGGCGGTCATGAACGCCTCTCGAGTCGAACGGAAGAAGAGAAGGCACGGAGACGGACAAGGACGTACCTGTATTTGTTGAGACTGCGGTAACCATTATCAAAGTGTGCGATTTAAAAAAAACAACACCACAGCTCTCCTTTTTTTGGAGCTGCAACAAAAACTTATTTAATAAAGCAACGACACAGTTCACTGAACCAACAGCAAGTTATAACATTGTAAGCATGTCTCCAGCAAGTAGCCATCTTGGGGTCGACATTTTACCGTCATGACCATACACAAGGCACACCGGATTTTAAGGCGCGCTGTGAGCTTTTAAGAAAATGGAAGAGTTTTCGGTGCGCCTTATAGTGCGGAAAATACGGTACATTTTTCAGCGCATTGTTTTTTTATTTATGGACTCGAAGAGTTTTTTATTTTTTGATGCATTTCGAGTGTTAGATTTATTTTTGATTCTATTTTGTTTACTCTTTCTATATGGCTCTTACAGTTGTCTGGTTTTGTGCGCTATAAACAAAGTTGAGTTGAGGCTCTTAAAAGAAGACTTGCAAGTCTATGTATACACGGACCTGCATGTTCTGTGAAATAGCAAATGGCTTATGAAATCAAACCCAACTGATACTTGGATACCTGGAGCATTAAGAAAGGTAGTATGTCATTTCCAGTAACCTGAGGACAACTGCAAACCACTGCCACAGGGAAAGGTCAGGTTTTTTTTTCCCCACTACCTTCCATTTGTGTTGTTCCTGCGCAGCCGCCAGTGGCGACTACTGGCGCCTGCTGAACCCCGGCGAGTACCGCGTGACGGCCAGCGCCGCCGGCTACCTGCCGTCCTCACGCACCTGCCAGGTCATGTACGACTACTTCCCCACTGTCTGCGATTTCCACCTGGTGAAGGAGCCCCGGCTGAGGCTCAAGGAAACAAAGCTTGAAAAAGGCGGCCAGCTCACAAGAGAACTGCGCCTGCGCCGACTGCGCAAGCTGAAGGTGGCCGGCAGACGTGCCAAAACTATGTGAGGGTGACCACTTCATTAACTCTGGATAAAAAAATTGTTGCTGGAAATAAATCTTTCTTACATAATTTGTATTGTCTTTTACATTGAACTCAACAAAACACGTGTTTACTGTAGTTAAAAAGGAAGGAGAAAATATTACAAGCATTAGGGTCCGACCAATATGGATTTTTGATGCCAATGCTGGGCAGAAAAAAAACTCACAGTAACCCATCTCTCACTTGGCATTAAAAATAGGAGGCCAAATACGAGTACAAGTCCTTACATTGGAGTACTGGCTGACACAAAATACAGATAATTGATAATGCCATTACATCTTGCTGAAAATGTTTCATTATAATCAAATATTATTCAAAAACAAAACGTTTCTTGAACATTGTCACCCATTTTTTTAGAGTAACAAGTCGCCACTGACATTTTCACATCTCAAACACCAGCTCCGGCTCACTCTGGCCCAGCCAACTTTGCTCCCGTCAGGAAGCGGTGTTAGAGGCAACTGGGCCGGGGAACTCGCGATGCCATACCATATCGAGTCAAGACAAGACAGTGATGGAGTGACTACGTATTAATGAGGCCAAGCAGCTCTCTATGTGAAGCCACTGCAAATCTCGGCCTGCCGTTGAGCTTCAGAAACCAGCCGCAGTCCATCAGTATTTTGGGTTTGATCATCTGTGATTTTAGTTCTCTCGTGTGGACAGTATGAGTAATGCAGTTAGTGTTTCACCACTCCAGGTTGAGCCATGGTAAATATCATCAGCCTAACAGCATAACTGTATGAATCGGAAAACAAGCAAAAACACAACAAATTCAACAAACATAGTCGTAGTTCATTTTAGGCTTTTCACAAAAAAAAAAAAAAATCCCAATATTTTTCTGAGTAGTGTAAATAAAAGTGACTTGATGTTGTCAAATGAGGACTTTCCCCGCATAATGCCCCAGTCCAGCCAGAAGGCCGAACGAAAGAAGGACAGGAACACATCAAGCCAAACCGGGAGAGTCATAAGAGCAGATAAGTGGGAGACAAAATGGCTAAGTACTAGGCCCGTCTTCCAGAAATCTTGAGACGAAGAGCAGTGGACTCAGGATCTCGAGGTGGCCACTACTGCCACTTTTGGCCAACTTTTACAAGCTAGATCGAGATATCTAGTATATAGAATAAACACTCAAATGGCTGTCCATGTGACAAGCCCTATAAAAAAAAATAAAATCAAAATCCTCATATTGTGGTTTGGATATGATGAGAACACAGACCTTACTTCCCCGCACTGTTCCAACTGTAGCACTTCTGTGTAAAAGTTTATCTTGCTTATACTGTATATTGTATAATAACCATAAAATCATTCAATTGAATTTTTTTCCTCAGAATGGTTTGTAGATGCCAAAAGACAATGGCAGAGCGCCTTCATCTCACTTCAACATAGTTCCTCCACATCATCATTTCACAAGATGGTGGCAATGTACGGTGTTTTTTTAAATCAAACTCTTTAACTCGCTTCAAAATGGTTCGACACCAAGAATCCACACAATGGTGACAAAAAACTAATTTTGGGCGAAATGTATACAGTACACCTACCTTTGACATAGTTTGTTCACACTGAAATGCCACAAGATGGCGGCAAAACATGGTGGGTAAGGGCCATTTTTTTTTTTTTTTTGCTAAATTGAACTCCTTAACTCAGTTCAACATACCGTAATTTCTTGACACCAAATTTCTCTGTCAAAATGAAACTCCTCAACTCGCTCCAACCTTGTTCTTTAACACAGAGATGCCGTAAACTGGTGGCAAAGTGCAATTTTTGGCTCAATGAATCGCCTCACCTAATGTTGACATCGTTCCTTGACACCACCACCTGACCAAAGGATGCATTTAATTTTTTTTTTTTTTAATCAAATACTCATTTGAAATCTTTGATATCAAAGGGTTTTACTATTTTGTTGTCCGTGTACGTTGAGTAAAAATCAAAGCTACGGTCACGTTTTCAAAATATTATTTGAGGCATAATGTATCGACAACGCATTAGCATGACGACCCGCAAGGATCTGAACGTGAAGCAAAAAAAAAAAAAACTTCTGAATGTGACGCAAGTCCCGAATGGGAGTAGTTGAATGAAATAAATACAAAATTACCAGTGGTAATCTAGGAGCAAACATGGTTTTCAAAGCTCCGATTGTCAAGAAGAGAAGCAGAGTTTGCTTTCCAAATACAATAGAACACTCCTCCAATGCACTCTTCATTGATTCAAATGTTAGTACATTTATCTTCCAATTCTCGCCTGACAGATGGTGGACGTGTGGCTCATAAGGATGCAGGCTCCTGTTTACTTTTGGACATGCTCATACAGTCGTTGAGAGTGCTTCCACAGCTTCTACAAGCACACCCTACGATACTTGCTGCAAACATGCAAAGACTGAGAACTAACTAAATAAATAAATGAGGCGTGGCTCAACGACAAAGTGGTCACCTCCGAACACGGAAGTTTAGGGTTCAATCCCCAGTCGTGACCACATTGCATTGTCCTTGAGCGAGATACTGGACCGCCGGTTGCTCCTGATGCTGTGTCATCAGTAGGTGAATGAGTTAACGGTTTCAAGCGCTTTGAGTGAAAAGTGCTGTGCATGTGAAAGACCAAAGACCATAAAGAGTTGTGTGGTTTCTTTGTCTTTCTTAATTGACGTAATCGGTATTTTACATTTTATATTGTGATGCAATATTGTGGAAGAGCCCAACTGGGGACTGGATTTGAGAATTAGCATTAGCTATAATCTTGCATCACATCAACTGCAAGCTATTAACTATGTTTGACTACATTGTCCCTGTCAAATAAAGATTTATTATTATTCTTATGGATGATGCGGCGGTAGCGACTGCGGCTTTATCCTTACTGAACAATGATAGGTCATGATCCGTGTTTGTCCATGTTCGTGCCAGTGATTCCTTTACGTGTTTGGCTGCACACATGAGCAGAGGTAATAGGCTGCCACAGGAAGTAAATAAAACTGAGTTGTTGTTTTTTTTAAACGGGTTAAAGAATTTAAATTAATCTCCACAGTTCACACTCTAACTGATAAATATAAAAAGAAATACTTGTAAACATATTTCTCTCTTCTCTGGTATCAAGCATTTTTTTTTAAATACAGAAGACAAGTAAAATCAGATGAGTAAAATTGGAAAAAAGCACTGATCAAAACAAATTTGAAATAAACACGTTTGATTTCGGTTTTTATTTTATGTTTTTATGTAACTTTTATTCATCCAAAACGTTTTGCTTTCCTTCACTCGTATTTATAAGCATTAAACTGATCAACGAATAAGGCATGCACCCCAAAACGAAAAACTCATCCTAAAAACAGAAGAGTTGAAATAACTTCTTTGTACCGTAACATAAAATCGTACGTAATCAAACCGGATTAATGGTTTGATTGACATGTGCTGCCGCGGGGTGGAGGACTTGTGACACGTCATGTTCTTTGACTTTGAGTCTTTCTATTTACAAGTGTCAGAACGCACCGCTGTTCGCAAGCGTGGCAATGACGAATCTAGAGCCCGTTGGTTGGGTCCAGTAAATTGAGCTTCCGCTGTAAATGAAAGCATACCTGTCAACTTTTCGGAGCGCCAACCTGTATAAACTACCAAAAAAATCCTTATAAAGAGCAAAAAAATCCTTATAACATACCAAAGCATTTTATATGTCAAAATAACGGCAGAAAAAAACCCACGAAATATGAATGATATATTTGTTTCCTTGTAGAACTTGCTTGTACACTACCGAAGTATGCAATGAATACTGTTTTCAACTAGGAACCACGTGATTTACTGGAAAGTTACCGGATATGAAAGCATTCGAGTAGACTAGCACCATTCTGGGCAAAAGCAAACGGAACTACCTGTTAGGGAAAAAAAAAACAACAAAAAAACCCCAGAAATTTTCAGAATTCGTATGATTTGTGCGATATGGCCATATACGTAAGATTCACCACAAAATCCGTATGAACTATGGCTAAACCGTATGAGTTGACAGGTATGTGAAAGCAAGAACATTTCACCTTGATCTGTAATGAACATGGATAGGGCCGTACTCGGCCTCCCTAAACTGACTGGATGGGAAAAGGAGGAGTGTTAAGAAGGGCACGGGATAAAACGCCAAAGATCACTCCCTCCCCTCTGTTGTTTTGCCAGGTGCTGTTGACATGAGACTTAAAGGGCTCAAAGGTGTCCTGCTGTTTGCCTTGGTGGCCTCCACCCTCTTGTACCTGGGCACCATTTGGAGGGATGTGCAAAGCCACTCGAACAGGCCAGACTCCGTCCAGGGATGGGGGATATTCGAGAGGTTGGAAAAGATGGAAACTAAGATCGAGAGGATGCGTGAGTCCTTTTTTTTTGTTGTTGTTGTTATGGGGGTTCATTTTTCCGTCCTATGGCAAGCCATTTGAGCATTTATTATGGCAAGCCATTTGAGCATTTATTCCACATCCCTGATATCAGACATGAGTGTTTTTACATTAGTTCGATCTTTTTCAGCACTTGCTCCACACTCAGCCACACTAGTGATGCACTTTGTCGAACTAGTTGCATACAAACTCTGACTAGTCATTCATTTTCAGCAACATGTTAACTTGTCAATCATGGATTATTCTAACATGTTAACTAGTGACCTGTGATTTCCTGCACTAGTAAACTAATGCGAGTTGAAATATTCACTAGTTTACTAGTGGCGGATAAAACAGTAGCTCAAATGGCTTGCCATACCGTCCAATAAAGCCATGCATGTGCGAATTCCGAAACAACCGCTTGTCCTAACTGGTGCAAAGAGGGGATCGAGCCTCTTCCGTTGCTGGTCCCTCTCGATCTTAGTTTTACTGTTTGATGCTTTCTACCGTCTTTGATAGTGCTTTACTGTTGTATATGTTAGCTGCTCTAGGTACAGCACTTTGTATTCAGCGATGGCTGTTTGAAAGTGCTCTGTAAATACAGTTGAGTTGAGTTGAGTTTGAATACAAAGATTTGTAACAGATAAAAATCACATTTTTATTTTGTTACATTGAATGGTTGCATTTTCTTTTCCCCTGTAATTGGTTGGCTGAAATATATGAATTTCCCTGTATTAATTGGTTCATTAATTATTTTGTAATTAAATATAAATTAATAGTAAAACTAAAGCATTACTTTTAATGATTTTTTAAATTTTTTATTGTGTGCGTGTTGCGTTCATTTCACATTTCACCATAAAATTGTTTTTGTTTTGTTTTATTTTCTTCAACAATCTTATGAAATAATTAGCTTATTGTTTTATTGTATAAATGAATACAATTGATAGATAAAAATTTTGACACGCACACACACACACACACACACACACACACACACACACACACACACACACACACACACAGATAGATGGATAGATAGATGTAAAATGTATGCACGTACTGTATTTGAGAATCTAGAACAACACTCAATTTGATTTACTGTAACTGAAGTTACACTCAAACTATTTTTCAAACACAATTTAACTTTTTTTCTATCAAGAATTAGAAAAGCTTTATTCAGCAATGGTTTGAGGGGTATGTTTTTTTAGGTGCCGGAGTATGTGTAACTGAATTGCGCCAAACACGGCTAATTACATGGTAACATCTGTCCAAAATATAATTGCATCTATCATAGGAAATTTTGTAATGTAAACCCCATGATAAACAAGGAACTACTGTACTCAAACTTTTCATGTAATTTTTCTCTCTCATGTCACCAAAGTTAAATTACAAAAATAAATAAACACGTGCGTGTGTGTGTGTGTGTGTGTGTGTGTGTGTGTGTGTGTGTGAGAGAGCGTGACATAGCATGTTGTTGTAACACACCTGCTAAAAATAAAGGACAGCCTTCTTGTGGATCAACAGATAGAACAGTTAAAAAAATGTATGATAGTCCAAATTTTAAAAAATTGTGGACAGACACATACCAAACAGGTTATGAAGTCGATACGTGGACTTTGAACTGGATTTCAATGAAATGGAATAACCAATGAAACGACTTTCCATACTACAGTCAAAGCGGTAAACAAGCTGCAGCCAGCGCCAGTGTTGTTGGAAGCTGAGGACAAGGCAGAAAAGGAGGACAAGAAGGAGAATAAGATGGTGGTGAGGAAACTGTTCCCCAACTCGGCCCTGTTCAAGAAGTGGGGCGAGGGTCTGAGCGAGGAGGAGCAGAAGGAAGCCGAGGACTTGTTCGCAAAGTATGGCTACAACACCTTCCTCAGCGACAGGCTGCCGCTCAACAGGGAGATTCCCGACACGCGGCACCCCAGGTAAGCCGTAACATAAACCCACGCACACCCGCACAAACACGGCCGGAGACTGCTGGAACACACCACCGGGCTCTTTCTCGTAGGCTTACTGTCTGCTTCAAAGCAAAATGACTGATTTGTGGCATGATGAAAAGTCAGACATCAAATTTCATATGAAACATGATGTATCTCACTGTACAGTAAGACACCAACTTGAATTACATTTTGAATAACAAGGCATCAATGAATCCGATTTTTTCCATACCATGTTGTACTTTGTATTGTGAGACATTGTCAGAGTTTTTCTCGGACAAAGTTAAAGAAATGACTCGGCACACAGGGAAAATTGTCTTCATTAACGGCGGGAGGGATCTCTGAGGGCAAACGACGGTTGTTGCCCCGGTAATCACACTCAGAGTTCCCTGTCCGCCAGTTTGAACTTTTATTGTTACATATGCTTTCCCACCATCTCCCACCTCGTCATGAACATTGTCAACTCCTCCCTCAACTTTGCCTATGTCCCCTCCTCACTCAAACTGGCTGCTGTAACCCCCATCATCAAAAAACCCGGACTCAACCCTGACATCATGAGCAACTTTCGACCCATCTCCAACCTCCCCTTTCTGTCCAAAGTCATAGAACATGCCGTCGCATCTCAAATTAAAACCTACCTAGACAATAACCAACTTCTTGAACAATTTCAATCTGGATTCCGCACACAACACAGCACTGAAACAGCCCTCCTTAAAATCACCAATGACCTCCTCCTCGCCTCTGACTCGGCCTACTCTCCATCCTCATCCTTCTTGACCTTACAGCTGCCTTCGACACCCATCAACCACTCCATCCTACTCTCTCGCCTACAATCCCTAAACATCACCGAAAAAGTCCTCACCTGGCTTCACTCATATCTCACAGACAGGAAACAATTCAAACACATCAACAACTGCTCTTCCTACACTGCCCCACTGTCCCAAGGTGTCCCCCAGGGTTCTGTGCTTGGTCCTCTTCTCTTCATCTTGAACTTTGAATGAAAAGACTCCACTCAACTCAGGAACAGATTGTCTTTTGCTGATCAGCAAAGGGGGCGAAGTTCCTCGAAGGCAACACAAGTTGTGTTTCCTCTCAGATCGAAACCCGACCTTCGCATGCCCGCTGACCACTTTTTATTCACAGGATATGCCAAATACAAGTATCAGAAAAACATTCCTCCTTATTTACATGTCACGCTTCCCAGCCCAGCCCACCGATATGCCCCTCAGTGGACACCTGGAGGCCAAAACATCTTTCAGTGCAAACAATGGATACCTTGTTAATTCAATGGGTAGATTTTGCATAAATTGAGACACTGGAACAAACTGAAGGACATCTTGTCATGCTGCACTCTCGAAGTTGAACCTTTCTGTCTCTCCTATCAGTTAATAAGGCCTTGGCTTCATTCAGCTCAAGTTGGCCCTTTTTTTCTGTGTGCTCCATTGTGTCCAAATTGTGAGAACATAGCGTTCAAGGTGAATCAAGCATATACTGAAATGAAACTTTGAAACATGATAATATTACATTTGTCTTTCTCCATTAGGAACATTGAGAATCAAAGCCCTCCTCAATTGTGCAGACACTCCTTCCCACAAGGAAGTTGAGTCAGAGGACTCTGAGGTGGGCTCTCCAATCTCTGGGGTAGAGGTCATTGAGGTAGTTGAAAGGCTCCTTGGTGGCAAGGCTTCTTTGGTGGATGAGATCCACCTGGAGTTGTTAAAGGGTCTGGATGCTGTGGGGCTCTCCATCGTGTGGACAACCATTTTGAAAGTGTATTTCAGATTAAAAAATGCCATCTCACTTGTGCGTAGGATAAATTTAAATCGATGACCCAAAGGTACTTCCATGACAAAGGGGACCTGCGCATCATGAATCTTAAGTCAAAGGTCGCAAAACCTCTGTACTGTAATGCAACACATTCTAACATATTTATGATGACATTCTCAACTCTTATATGATGCATCATATGCCATTTAAATATAAAATATAGAAATACGTTGTTTTTAATATGAAATGTAGAGTACATTATGTTTAACCTGACATGTTGACGTGTAGTATGACATGTTCAACACCCCTTGATGTATAGAAGACATCATGCTGAATATCAGACATGCTTATCATGATCTATCATAAGCCAGCATTTTGAATGACATGAATTATCATCACATGTGTTTGTTGTTCTTTCTTCAAAAAAAGATGCATACAGAAAAAGTACCCTGCTGATCTCCCCAGCCTGAGCGTGGTGTTGATTTACCTGAATGAAGCACTTTCCATTATCAAACGGGCTATCCGCAGCATCATAGACAAGACCCCCGCCAGCCTGCTCAGAGAGATAATACTGGTGGATGACCACAGCACAAATGGTACAGGAACTAAAAGAGGGCTGTCCAAATGTCTGTTTCTTGCAAAGGTTGCATATCACTTTGACATTCTTCACCTTCAATTTATTGAAACACATTTGAACCAACCCATCTGTTGACAGAGGACCTGAAGGAGAAGCTGGACGACTACATTAGGATCATCCACGAGGAGCGGGCGGGTCTGCTGAAGCGGGTGGTGCACAAGGAGCAGCTCGGCCTCACCCAGGCCAGACTGTCCGGATGGAAGACAGCCACCGGTGACGTGGTGGCCATCCTGGATGCCCATATTGAAGTCCACGTCCAATGGTTGGTGTCGTCTTGCCATTTCCATGCTTCTGGAGTTCAGAGTTGGCAAATGTACTTGTACTCTTAACGAAGTGAAAGTATAGTTACTTGGGTAAAAAAATACTGTGATCAAAGCAATGATTCGATTCCTTTACTTTCAGCTTTTCCCATCAGGGTTCATCTTGTTTTTTTTTTTTTTCTTAGTGCTATCAAATAGATATTTGAACACAACCGCTGAAGCATCACATAGGAGGATAATGTCAGAATACTGTACTCATAGTAAGGCTGGGCGATTGTAAGATTGCCATTCGTAGATTCATGTTGGTGATAAATTTCAGATTGTTCATGGCGATCAACTGTGAAAGGCGAAAATGTACGTGACAACAGCCAGTCAATATTGACCTTCTCCTTTTTTTCGTTTGCAAGTTGAAAAAGTTCACAGAAAGTAATATATTGTAGTAAGACAATAACAATAAACAATGACTGAATGTGCAGCCACGACATGACTTTATCCTCCGAAGATGAGGCTATTGCGACGAGAAAAGTTATCCACAATGGCAAATTAAGCTGATGTACAAGGTGGTCGGTGTCCTCAAAAACAGGCAATACAACAAACCTGTGTAATTCTTTTAAGAAGTACGACCACCCAAATGATTATGAAGAAAGCATGGAAATGCGAACGGAGTTTGCAACGCCTGCATATGAGGCATGGGCAGTGTAGCCACTACCAACTAGTGTACTGCCACCAGTAGTGGAATCGCTTCATCTTTTGTACCTGCACATTTGCAAGTGGCATTGATGTTAACATCATATGTAGAATCATTACTCCAAATTTTCTATACATTTTAAGGCATTTTCATTACTCTCGAGGGGGAAATTGATTATTTTGGGTCTTGCATATGTGCTAAAACACTCCAAGACTGTAGTTCACATTTGTTGTACTGTTGAGTCAAACTTAAAAGATTTTTTCTGTTCATCTTATTCATTTTACTTTAAAAATGTACTTCATATGTTAATAAAACATTTAACTACTGTCCAAATTCTTAAATTTTCAATACAGATGCTTTTAAACTGGCAATTCAATATGAGTCATCATAATAATATTTGACCTCGGATGATATGAAAAAAAAAGAATTCTTTTTTTGGGGGAGGGGGGGTACATATCACCAAGCCCCAACTCACAGATCTATATTTTTTAATCCTCTGTGAAGAATGATCTTACTGTAGCTGACTGAGGAGCTGCGACCATCACGTATATATTTACGTGTCTGTACTGTGCCATACGTTTTTGTTCATTGGATGTAGGTGATTTCGGCATGTCACACACACTACTCTGTTAACTACAGTGTGAAGTAGGGGTGCATTTATTTAACCAATGTATCGATGCGTCTGCCGTGCGATCCAGCTACATTGGTTGAGCCTTTTTTCATTTTTCTCTCGTGTACGTCATCCCTGGTCGGCGACGGGGATTTACGTGAAGCACACGACGTATGAAAACAGATCAACATCGATGGTGGCGGCGAAAAAGAGTTTGTTTAAGACAAAGCAATGCATTTGTTTGCGTGGAAACATTTCCCACCACTGACAACCGCTTGTGCGCTCAGGGCAGAGCCGCTGCTGGCACGCATCAAGGAGGACCCCACGGTCATCTTGACGCCCGTCTTCGATCGGGTCAATTATGACGACTTGACAGTGACCCACTATGTACCGGCGGCTGACGCCTTTGACTGGGCTCTCTGGTGCATGTACGAGTCCTTCAGGCCCGAGTGGTACAAGCTCAAGGACGAGTCGCTGCCTGCCAAGTGAGTCACACATTTCAGTTTCGGCCTCATACACTGATACGATCGTGAAAGCAGCAAGCAAAATAAGCTATAATTTGCAAAATGATGTCATAAATTCGAATTTACAGTTAAATGAAGAAAAAAACCTTTCATAAAAAAGTTAGCACATCCGCCTCACAGTGCAGAGGTGCGGGGTTCTGGCTCTGGCCTTCCTGTGTGGAGTTGGCATGTTCTCCCTGAGCCTGCGTGGGTTTTCTCTGGGTACTACTACTGGGTACTTCCTCCCACATTCCAAAAAACGTGCATGGCAGGCTAATGGAACACTCTAAATTGTCTCTAGGTCTGATTGTGAGCGTGAATGGTTGTTCATCTATGTGTGTCCTGCGATTGGCTGGCAACCAGTTCAGGGTGTCCCCCCGCCAACGCCCCCCCCGTGAGGATAAGCGGATTTAAAAAATGGATGGAGGGACACATCTAACCCTATAATGCCATTCGCATCATATTTGCTACGTGAGTTTCTGAGACCTCTATCTTACTAACATGATGCATTTTTCCATTAAAAACCTGTTGTGTGTGATCCGCTCCATGTATTCTGCCCCCTGGTGGATTATCATGCCTCTACAGGCAGCTCAGGTTTTGTTTTCGTCATTTCCAACATGGTTGCTCCCGGTGTATGATGCTCTTGGGTTTTTCAGGAAAATCATTTCTAATTTTTTGAGAGGTTACAGTTAGAATAACATCAAAATTCTAAGTCATTTTTAAATATAAGTATTTTCTTCATTGAAAGAATGCATATTTATTAAGTGAGTCATTCTTTATATTAAAATTAAATCGTGTTAAAATGTCTGTATGAAATTTGATACTGCAGATTTAAACCCAAATTGTCATTTCACATGTAATCTACATAATGCTTACTGAAATACAAACACACACTATTTTGATGACTTAATTAATCTAATTGATCACTGAAATGCCACCTTCAAATACATTTTGAGTATTTCCACAATAACTATTCCTCTGAAATAATGTCGATGCCATATTGAGCCTTACGTCAATTTTTAGATGTCAAAAAGGCTCGAGGAAGAAGAGAGAAAGAGAAAGCACATTGAAAATGTCATCAGCATGATAATGGATGGCAATACAGGTGACATAGAGCAGTTGGCAGAAGATGATGAGGATGAGGATGAGGAATGGACTTCTTAGGAAATGCATGAAAGTTCAGACAGCAATGATGAGGAAGACAATCAAGAGGAAAGTTTCCCCGACAAGCACAGATGTTGAGGTTCCAACAACAACACAAGACACAATCAGAAAGGAGTCAGTGAAGGGCAATGCAAAAAGGAGAGAATACAGATGGAAAAAAAAATCACAATATCAAGCTCCATCTGTCGATTTAGTTGCATGTGTTGATGAAGGGACGGAGGACAGGTGTGACTGGACACCATATCTGTATTTCAAACAGTTTGTAACTGATTAAATGTTAAAAGAAACTGCAGAGCAAACAAACCTGTACAGTGTGCAAAAAAGGGGAAGTCAGTAAACACAAGGGCCAGAGATAGAGCAGGTTTTCGGCATGTACATGCATATGGGGTTAGTACAGAAAGGATGCCACTGACCATTTTCCTACATGGGAAACCCGACAGAGATGCAAGCACTGCACGGGCAATCACTTTTCACATGTCTACTGTGGAAGGTGGAAGGTGCATCTTTGCCTGATCAAAAACAGAATTTTTTTTCCCGCCAACCACAAAGTGAAATAAAAAGGCACTAAAAAGTGTCATGTGAAAAAGAGAAAGAGGAAAAACTTCAAAACATGTTCTATAATTTCAAAATGTTATGGCCAGAACTCTGTTTTTTGTTCTGAAATTAACTCTGTTGTGACCAAAAATTTGCCAAAAGTGCCCACTATATCAAATGTGATACAAAAAATATCCCATAAACAACGTGATACAGCAAAAAAAAAAAAAAATTGTGGATTTTGTTGCAAGGGTAAACATCTCAGTTCACAAAAATCAGAATTTTCTGGTTATTCTTTGATGGGTCAGGCCTGACAGGGCTAACGACATTCTTATTTAAAGTAAAATTATGTTTAAAAATACTGATTGTGGATAACACTCAAATTTATAGTGTACTTAAAATAAAATCAATTTAAAATATTTTTAAAATTGTATTCAATTCTAATTAAAGTAATTAAAAAATACAGTAGCATAGAGACCAAACCATAATAATTGAACAATATATGAATGATGGCCACTAAAATGCATTGGAACCACCCCACCCCCTTTTTTTACTCCCAAAATTAATGAATAAATAGATAAATAAAATAACACTGATAAACTTCTAAATATGCGTTTCTCACAAAAAACAAGGGTTGGCCCCCAAAACACACGACAACATCAATAAATAAAAACATCTGGGGGGGGCGGGGGATAAAGTAATACATCAAAATCTGCAAAAATAGTTGAATCTGTGGCTGCCAAACTGTGAGCATGCAGCGGTGTGCTCCATGGAGCGCTTACAAATAAAATGTAGTATTATTGTTATTATTTAATAATATTCAAATTTAATGGAAAATTAAAACATAAACATTCAAACATAAACCAGACTTTTAATGAATTCAAAGTGTAGTTAATATAGTAGATCTAGAAATATATTAAATATTATAGGAAATAAAATTTAATTAAATACATTCTAAAATGATACTATCAAATTAATAAATATTTCAAAAATGTTATTCAATTATAGTTGAAAATAAAACATGTTTTTGGAAAATCTAAATATCTGTCAATTTAATTTTTAATATTAAGTTCAAAGAAAAAAATTAAAAATATTCTTAAAATTAAGATTATATGTAAAGAATATGTGTAAAACACATTTAAATTATAAATTAATTTTATAGGAGTAGTTCCTACTAGAAATTAACACTTTTTTATGCAGCAACATACATTTGTGAGGAAAGTTCTAATTGATGCAATATGCACACAGACAAGTTACTCCTAGCCTGACCAGTGGCAATTTGGGAAGAAGCTGAGCACTTTTTGGGGGATGTTCTTGCCCACAAAAGGAGCCCGTCTATCATGGGGATATTTGCGGCCGACCGCAAGTTCTTTGGCGAGATCGGGAGCCTGGACGGAGGAATGAAAATATACGGCGGCGAGAACGTGGAGTTGGGCATCCGGGTAAGACTCCGGTGCGGTTCACGCTCTAAACAAAGGCGGAACGTTTGCTCAGCGTGATCCGGCAGGTCGGCTGTGTTTGAGCCCGCAGGTGTGGCTGTGCGGCGGCAGCGTGGAGGTCATCCCCTGCTCCAAGATTGCCCACATCGAGCGCGACAGCAAGCCCTACCTGCCCGACCTCAGCATCACCATGAAGCGAAATGCACTGCGTGTGGCCGAGGTGTGGCTGGATGAGTACAAGTACAACGTCAACATCGCCTGGAACCTTCCCTTGCAGGTTGGTTGTCAGAAACCAATTGCAGAGGAACTCGTAATACCATAAATGTTCCATGGGAATTGCAGCGGTGCTTTGAAAATAGTGGAATTCTTTTTAATTCTGTAATTAATGTCTGTTTTTATAAAGCATAATATGAGGTGCTATTTTTCTTGGCTGGAACGGATCAATCGTATTTGCATTCTTTTCATTGGTGAAAGATGATATGAGATAATAGTGTTCTGAATTTTTAGGGTGGTCATGGAACTAACTAAACTTGTATCTCAAGTCACCACTGTAATATTATTTGCATGAATGTCTGAATATGACAAAACAAAATTTGATGTTGCCTTATTGCCAAATTTATGCATTGAAACTTCAGAAATTTTCTGGAAATGTGCCCCCCAAAAATGTATGCCTGTGTAACCAGTGACACTATGCCAACGAAACTCAATCATCAATTGAACAAAAAGTCCAAGAATAGCCAGCACGGTGGTCATTTTGTCCATGTTTCTCCCTCAGAATCATGGCGTGGACATTGGCGACGTGTCAGAACGGAAGGCGCTGAGGAAACGGCTCAAGTGCAAGCCCTTCAAGTGGTACCTGGATAATGTTTACCCCATGCTGGATCCTCTTCAAGACCTGGTCGCCTACGGAGCGGTGAGCACAAGCAATTGTTGTTTTGCCTGTGGGAGTCTGGGATCAGTCAATTAGCGGACTAGTTGACAAGTTGACTTTTCTACTCTGCATCGACATTTAGTGGTTGAAATCAACTAATTGGTATTCTGTTTTCCAATTGGCCAATTTCGATTTGACCGTCTGCTAACATCGCTGGACAGCGAAATATCTGGCTGACAAGGTGGCAGTTTTCTTACATCTGCGCAAGTCAGAGTATGGGTCAATAGGCTGGTGGTGGATGAAAATAGCAGTTAGCTTCAACTAGCGTTAGCAATCTGATCATACGAGTCTGGAGTTGAAAGTCCCCTCAATGAAACACAAGATGAGACTGGACGGTTTGATGAAGCGAAAATGAGCAGGACTAATTACTATAACTCCAATTACTAATGGTTAGTTGCACTGTACTATTAATCGTTTGTTTTTATTGGTGGTCGACTGGTTAGCGCATCCGTCTCACAGTGTAGGTGTTCGATGTGCAGGGTTCGGTTCTGGTTCCGGTCTTCCTGTGGGGAGTTTGCATGTTCTCCCAGTGCCTGTGTGGGTTTTCTCCGGGTACTCTAGTTTCCTCCCACATCCCCCAAACATGCATGGAACACTCTAAAATTGTCCCTCGATGTGAGTGCGACCGGGGATGGTTGTTCGTCTATATGTGCCCTTCGATTGGCTGGCAACCGGTTCAGGGTGTACCCCGTCCAGTGAGAGCTGGGGTAGGCTCCAGCACACCCCGCGACCCTTGTGAGGATAAGCAGATTTGTTCGATGTACATGCGTGAGGCAAAACCGAGATTGAAAAATATGTAATTCCGATTTAAGTGTTGTCAAATGTCACTTGAGGCACGTAACGGCACAATTACTACACAGTAAATGATAAGTCACTGTAAAATGTTTGGCACCATTCTCAATTGCTGGACAGTAACGATTTGTGAGCTTGCACAGTAACTATAATCAGAAATGCATTGCGTTAGATTAATCATTACCGTAATAAATGGCAATAAGTAGCTTTACCTTCTAATGTGTTACTGGCGTCATGGCACCCTACCATTTTACACTCTGAGGAAAGACAAATAGCTAATAATAATAATAATAGATAAACCACGTCCTGTATTAGCAATAGCTAAAACCAGTGGAATGATCACAATGACTATACTCCCACAAGGGGGCGCAAATATTCCACATGAACGTCAGCGTTTTCCGTATTTGCTCCGCTTCTCTCTGCAGTTAATAAACCAGTTGAAGCCGGATCTGTGCATCGACCAGGGTCCAGTTCCGGGTAGCACACCAATCATCTACTCGTGCCACTACTTTGCCCCACAGGTATGAGCCCACCCTCGATAGAAGGCCCTCTGTGCATTCAACCAATATCCTTGATGTCCAATTTAAGGTCCATGTACTCGTATGCTGTTTATTCTCACTAGTAGGACAATGGATTAAGAAACGATTCTCTGAATTCTAGAAAGGCTCTTTAAGATCCTTGCTGAATGTTATCCCCGCCCTCACCCAACCACACTAATTCCAGTGGAAAGCTTCCAAATTTGTAATTTCACCCTGTTTGCCACAGCGCTGCTACTACCGCACCAACGGGGAGCTCTATGTGGGTGGCATCAAATCCCACACGTACAACAGCAACCGCTGCCTGGTGGACCCCGGCAGTGGCGTCTACCCAGCCCTCTACGAGTGCAAGATAGCCAAGCAGAAGAAGTTCAACATGTTTTGGGACTTCAAGCAGGTGGGTAGCAGGGATGAGAGGCTATCTCCCGGTTCGGAGCAAAACCATAATTTAAAAAAAAAAAAAAAAAAAAAAAAAAACCCACTGACCATTTTTTTTAGGGGTCATCGATCCAGAACCGGGACACAAAGCGATGTTTGGAGATCGCCCAGGGTGAAGACAGCTACTATCAGCTCATTGTGCAGCGCTGCAGTGGTCAGATCTGGAACATTCAGAATGACATCAGAGAGAGAGAGGCTCGAGTGTAACGAGGCAGCCGTCCAACCAGCAAACTAGTTAGGTGGGCCTTTATTTAATTCGCACTACAGCCCCGTAATGTGAGATATTTTGCACAAGATGAGTCACATGGGTCACTGACAAGTACAGATGGACAAAAAATTCCTCCAAAAACTCATTTGTGCAGCAGCTTGCTGTGTCTGAATCAAATTGAAGATTTAGCTGCCAGCTACCTGTCTTCCTCACGCTTCTCCGCGTGCGACTACTTCCCCACTGTCTGAGAATCCCTTTGGTAAAGGAAACCTTGGCTGAGCCCCAAGGAGATGAAGTAGGACAAAGGCGGCCAGCTTGCAATCGCAGGGAAATGCAGCTGTCTGCTTAGGCCAAAATCATGTTGGGATGATGACCACTTTTTTTTTTGTACCACTTTGTAACTGGTGTCTGAATGAAGAAATACTGCCGCAAGTGAATCTCTATTACATAATTTTTATTTTCTTTTATATTACAAAAAAAAAAAAAAGGTTGAGCTCAAAAGTCCAGATTCCACTTGACTTTGGTTCTCATGGTAGGCGGAGTAGAGATCTCGACATCTGGATGGAGACAAGATTCAAAGCATTTTTTAAAGGATACAGTATTCATTTCATTACAAAAATAAAAGCGTGAAAGACCAAAGACCCCCAAAAATGTTTCTTTAATGTAATGTGTATAAACCAATTAAATTTGATGTTTAGAAATGGTGGAAAAATTTTATTTTTTGTATCAAGCAAAGTTAAATTAGTTTTACTCACACACACACTCATTGTGTGTGTGTGTGTGTGTGTGTGTGTGTGTGTGTGGCGCTTGTGTGGTAATTTGACCAAAATTGAAGCGCTGTCCTGCTGACCTTGTTGCGATGTTAGCGAAGCCTGCTGTTGCTGGAAGGAAGCCATGATGCTGTTGGCCGTTGAGTCGGGTCCCGTAAGCTGAAAAGCAACAAGCACACAAATGGGAAACATTCAGAGATTTGTTTTCATTTGAAACAATGCAAGGCATTTCTTGAGCCTGAAAATATTTATGCATCAAATATGAATTATATTTTTCAGGCTCTTAATCCCCCTGAACCTGTAGAATCCACAATGTTTACGCCTTCCATTGTTTTTGTTAATTGGAAAAAAATGAACATTTCCATAAAATAAACTTCATAAATAGAAATAAAAAACCTTTTTAGTCATCTGTTCTTTACCAATTAAAAGTAACCTTTTTCTTTTCTTAATTAAAAAAATGCACATTGTAAGAGCAACTTTACAAAAATGTTTCCTGTAATTTAACAAAAACATGAGAAAGATCAGTTATTTTTAAATGGTAGTTATTCATCACAAAATTAAAATATATTCAATTATTTTTAAATGTCGTTAAACAATTACATTAATTATAAAAATGAAAAAAATTAAAAACAATTTTGTTTAATTATAAAATGTAAATGTTACTGTCTTCTACAATGGTGCCTCACTACTGAAACTATATGTAGATACACACCCATGATCGAGTATTATATAATTCCAATTTTAAGTCCAAATATTGAATCATTTGAAATATTGAAAATTAAAAAGTCACAATTTACCATTTTCATGAAAGAAATGAGAAACTGTGTATCCTTCATGACCCACTACAAGTCTTATCGCTACAGGATGATTCTTATTTTGTATGTCTATTTCTGATGTAGACTTAACTATACATCTGAAAATGGATCATATTACTATTTTGGTCATCAGAGATGAAGGTGGACTTTCCTGAAAATTCCGGAAAAGGGATTTTTTCTAAATTCTTAAGGACGTACTGCTGCTCTGGTGAATGGCTCAATTTTCAACCCATTAAAATGACGGACGGCCTTAAATTTTCCCCGTCCACTCTTAAAAAAAATCCGTCAATGATGGAAAATTGTCCGCTAATGTAACCTCTTCAGGAACAGAAATATAAAATATGTAAATGTTTATCCAGTCTTGTTTAACTTAGATTTCTTTCCAAAAGACAGGCTTTGTTATTAGAAATCACCCCTCCTCCTCTCGAGTCCTCACAAATAAAATATGAAATATCGGGTTTGCTTCGGGCTCGGGCCTGCAAATCCAGTTAAGTGACCGGGCTCATGCACCCTTTGTGGCTTCCGTTCTCGCAGAAATTTCAAAATCTCAGAGATATGGCGAGGCCATGAGAATGCGAGGTGAGGGTATTACTGTTGTGGCGACGCCACTCGAGCTCGTCCACTGCTCTCTACTGTGCGTGCGTGCGTCAGTGCGAACATGTACGCAAGCGCGTCTTTTGATTTCAACCAATAAGCGCCGACGCAATGACGTCACACACCCGACGTCACACACAACAACAGCTAAGCTAAGCTAGCCGAGACGACACTCGAAGTCGGACGGACACGTTTTTCTGACATTCTGTGTGTTTCCCTTTTCATCCAAATATATTTTTTACGACAAAAACTGTCTTGTCCACGGTGTCTTTTATTCGTTCCACTGGGGTTGAGATAGTGTGTTTATAAAGAGACAAATCTCTACTGTTACTAGTGTTAGAGTGTCAACATGGCTACGCTCGTGAAAGCAAAACAACGAACTCAAACGCGTCTTCGTTCAATGTTGTCAACTAATATCCGGATTAATTTTAGGCAAATTTTCCTCAATTCTCCAGAGAGATTTTCATAAAAATGTGAAAAACCCGGAATTCTGGGAAAATCCGGAGGACTTTCATCTCTGGGTCATGAATATGATGAAAGATAAGTGGTTACCGGTGCGTGGCTGCTGTGCGTTTCCTGAGACCACACTTCCGGGATGGCCTCCTCCATGGCATGCAGCGCTTCTTGAAAGACGAGCCGCAGCTCATCGGCTTGCTTGTCGAAGCGGAAGAGCACGAGAGCCTTGAGCAGCGCCTGAATCTCCTCTGCAGAACACGATGATGCATCAAACCACAGAAACATGAATCCCCCTCAATGGGCAGAGCGCCTTCAAAAAGTTCAAGCGAACGGTGTTCACCTCTCATTTTGTCCACGCTGGTGATGATCTCTCCTAGGGCGTACATGAGCGCTTTTTCTTCCTTGGGATTTCCTTCCTTCAGACTCAGCTCCTTTCTCTCAGCCTTGCGGCGGTTTTTGGAAGACCTCCTAAAATATCACCTTGTTTAACATTTAATGGCACTTGGTTGCATATTTATACTCAAATAAAATATTTCAGGCTAAAGAATCAAAGATGTATAAAGTGTGAATTATATTTTGGGGATTTTACTCCCCCAACATCAGTATCATACATATACATCAGGAATGGGCAACTGGCAGCCCAGCCCGCAAGCCCGCACACACGCTGAGTGACCCTCGATTAATTTCTGAAAATAACGTTGACTGAAGCGGAGCAGTTTTAAGAACACCACTTGATGGAAGACATTGGTTACTACCACCTCTAACCCCAAGACTGTATTTGAGCATCAGAGAAGAGAGAGCGGGTCCTGGCAAAAAGCAGTGCCAAGACCAACTGAGGTCATATTCTGGTAAAATAGGAAGCAGTTTTTATGTTTCCCAAATTTAAATGCAAACATATCTGTCTTGTATGCTAAGAGACAATATGTGCCAATTTTATTTCGGCGGCGGCGTTACCTAAATTCGCCACTCATTATTCATGTATTTGCCGACTTTATGGTTGCTCCACGCCCACTCAGTAACACACTGTGAGCAAAGCTAAAACTTTGCATGTATTATTTTTTAAATTAAAGGGACAGACTTGGACACCCATCATAATGAACAGCAAGGGTGGTAAACTCATTTTTGCCGCGGGCCACATTGTAGTTACAGTGATAATTTTACAGTTTACCGCCAGTGAGTCCCAGGGACTCGCTGATCTGAAAAGTATGAGTCCCATTATGCATTTAGAGTCCCAAATTTCGAATTCTGAAATGATCTACTTATTCAATTGCATATGATAATAACACAAACAACATATACATACAATTATAAACAAATGCTGCAAAAATGTAAATAATTCAGTAGCAGGCCTGAGGATTTCGGAAATTCACGGTAACCGTTTTTCGGTTCCGTCGGATTACCCAATGGGAAACCACGGTAACTAATTTTGGGTTCCGTACACGTTCATCATGGGAACCCATTTTTCTATTTTGACTGTTATTCATAATCAAGAATTCTGATACTCAAAAGTATAATGTTTCAATTGTAAATGTTTGAAAACTGCATTAACAATAAACACTGCATCAGCAGCTGTGTACTCCATGTTTATTCAACTAAATAAGTGGATCAAAATATGTTGTACGTACTTATATGGTCTGTGTCCTATGGGTTGTGTTGTGTTATTTTTGTTATTTTGACTTCAGGATGGCGCCGCGAGAGTGGCTGCCTTTCCAGCAGCTCCTATAGTTTGTTGTTCTACTTCTTCCTTTTATAACTTTGCTGCTGTGAATTGGGAATTTCTCCATTGCGAGAATAATAAGGATTTCTTATCTTATGAATACAGCATACCACAAAATCAGAGTATTTTTTCCAATCTCACACTGCAAAGATTAATTTACTGGAAATCATTAATTCAGGTAAGTATTGATGTGGCTTGACATCATCTTCCCAAGACGATGCATGTGTAATCTACTATCAATTTGACGAAAGAATCTAACAAACGTCGTCATTACTTCTACCACCAGTTAACATTAGCATTACTACACTTTGTGACGAATGTTTTATTCATAAAGTTACCATGCTACAACCAGTAAATTATAGGATAACCAACACTGTTTCATCATATTTTTCATAGCGATTAGCTTATAGATCTAATGACCAACTTCCCTTGTAATCGTGCCTCGCGTTGTATCTCGCTCTCGTGTTCTGTGCATACGTCACAGGTGAGTTTAGTGATACGCCCTTCGGACGATTCATACGAAAAATCAGACTGGCATTCCCATTTCTTAAATGTCGTAATTAGTAGACCTTTGGGAGTTTTTTTCGCCGCCATCTCAAACTTTCAACCGCGAGATTCCACAGTTTGCGGCCTAAAATAGCAACCCGCATGCGCACATAACGTTATTGGTTCCGTCCCCCCCAACACTGAAAACAAAACGAAAGTAAATTAGAAGAAACACACTCACACACCACACCACAAACACACATACAGGCACAGTGAAATCTCG